TGGCAGTGTTTTTGGTTATTATGATGAACTTTTATGGCAAAACTCACCTTTATCAAAGTTTTGATAGAATGTATATTGCAATAATACTTTAGTTTAGGGTTAGAATGGTTTTAGTTCCAGAACTGTTCATTTTTGTGTCAGTTTTGTCCTGAAGATTCATCAATGTAATCCAGAGGTAGCTTGGATAACCGGGTTATCATAACCCCTTCAATTAAGAATATTTTCCAATGTGATATAGCATTCTCTTTAACCATACGAACCACAATCCAATCAAAGGAATGATTTGAATGATCCAATGATGAGTAGAACTTTCACACAACCGGTTGTGACAGAAGAGAAATGCTAAAGCTACCCCAAAATGAGGTATTCATTATTATCCCGGCCTAATGTGTGACAACACATTTAAGTGGGGCACCACTTAAATGTGTTGCCCCATTTATGGTCACACATTAGGCCGAGGTAAGAATGGGGTACCCCATTTTGGGGTACCTGTAGCATTTCTCTTTAAGCAATCCCCTAGAGTAGGGGAGTGCTTGTAATAACTAAAAAAAACGCTACTCAGCTTTTGGCTTAAAAAACTAAAATTAGTGTTTTCAAGTGACAACTTCTACCTAAAAAAGTGCTTCTCGGTTTTTGGGTGTAAAGTCCTTTTTACTTTTTCTATTACACGAAAAGCACTTATTTTATCAATCACTACCAACTTTTACCTTTCAAAATCACATTTTTCTCAAACACTGTCAACTTTTACTATTAATCACTTTTTCCTAAATCACTTAAAAAAATGTTTTTTAAGCAAAAGCATTTGCAAACACTTCCTAAAACATACTATGCAGAAAAAGTTTCAAAACAGAAGCTCTTAATTTTTATTTCCGATTTGTAAAAGGTTGAATCACAACCCCCAGGGCCCCCACGTTCTGACCCGACAAAACATTTGAGAGGTTGTAACTCACGATGACTTAGTCAATCCAATGGTGGTAGAACTTGTACCCGTGCGTACCAGAGTTCCAGTCCAACACACATGAGTTAACCTCCACACATGCGTGTCCTGATCCTTGATCAACTGAGCTAGTTTTTTTTTTTTAATTTCCGAAATAGGATTCTATCTAGTCTTGTGCCTCTATCCTCTCTTTCATTTCTGCTAATGTATTGCCCGCATCGCTGCCAAATTCACGGATTCTCCTCACCGGACGCTCCCCCCTCCTCCACCCGCATCATTCTCCTTTGTTTTCCATCGGCATTCTCATTTTTTAATGCTTTTTCCCAAAAAAATTCATTGTTCATTTTTTGATTTAGTTCAATCAAATTTGCAAAATTTCAAGACTATTTTTGTGACTAACTTGATATTTTTTTATTAAATTCTCAATACTTTTAGATTTAATCTCGTTTTGTAGTTATTTATTTCAAATAAATTTTGAATATGAAAGTGCCACAATAACTATATTTATTTTCAGGCATGATTAATAGTTAGAAAATCAATTACAGTACTACGTATTAGTTTGCTCTATCATATCGAGTACTTATTAAGAGGCATGCTTAGAAAATCAATTTTAAAAGCTTTTGCCTAAAACTCATGAAATCAAATTATCAAATGCAAGACGGAAAGAGTATGCTGCATAACAATTAAACAAAAATTATACCTTTTTGTATTTTGACTGTTTGACATGAATTGGCCTTTTCTACGCTAACAGCAAAAAATGAAAAAAATCCCATTTGAATATTTTTTCATCACGTTTTTTATTTAATGTTTCAAAAATCTAACTATTTTCTAAATATACCAATTTCATTATTAATTTCAAGATTATTCAAACAATAATAACAACAGAATATTAACTGAAATAAAATAAAAATATTAATTACAAAGTTATAGCAAAAATAGAAAGATCATTATAAATATTGTAGCTATTTTGCAATAATATTTCATAAACTAGTAAAAATTGAAATAATTAAGATAGTACTGTTTTATTATACGAAGTAATAATACTAGAAATAAATGAACATTGGTGTGTGTTACTGGTGTGCGCGTGTGTATATAAAATACTAATGTAGTAGTCCATCCGTCCCTAAATGTTTGTTACACTTTCCCGAAACAGATGTTCCAAAATGTTTGTCATACTTTTTCAACTTCCTTATTTGGTAAACAAATCTATACCAAACAGTGTCAAACAGTGCAAAATAGTGTCAAACAGTCCGCTACAGTGTGAAATAGTGTCCCTACATTGTAAAGTCAAATTCATCTCCTTAAAACTTGTGAAGTCAAAGTGTGACAAACATTTAGGGACGGAGGGAGTAATAATTATATAGAATACTAGTAATTTTTTAAAAAACATTTTCTTTAACTTATCAAAAAGTAAAATATAAAAAGTTGGGTGAATTCCCCAAATAGGAGTAAAACATAGGCAAAATGCAAAAATAGGAGTACCATGTTTTGAATAGGAGTAACTTTAGTGTTTGGACAAATATACCCCTACCCAAACCCCAAGCTCCAACAAATTTCATTAATAATTAAAACATAAAAGAAATACTCCGTAAGATTAATTAATTTATAATAAAATTGTAAGAAAAACACAAAAAATATCAAATAAAATATACTCCGTATTAAATAAAATAAAAAATTATTAAAATAAAATATATTTTTTAATGCAGTTTATCTATTTTTTATTTATTTTTAAAGTTTTTTATTTTTACAAAAATAAATTTTTTAATACTTAATACGAGTATTTTAATATTGTTGGGATGAACTTAGATTATTTTTAAAATTAAATGGCCTGCATAAAGGTTTCGTTTGCAGTGAATGAACTTAGATTTTTTTTAATAGGATCAAATAAGTTACTAGCTTATGGATATTAAGGGTACAAAATTAACGTTTACTCCTATTGAAGGAAGTTTTAAGTTTTATTTCTATTTGTGCAATTATGTTTATGTTTACTTCTATATTGGGCAATTTCTCTAAAAAGTTAAGTGAAATATATAGTCCTTAAATTTTTGAATTCATATCCATATAGTTAATCTTACTTTATAAAAGCTAATTTGTAAACACTAAGTGGCTAAACATTTTATTTCATTTTGTTAGTTATAACGGGTAATAATAAATAGTCAAATTATGTACTCCGTAAGTAATAGTCGATCACCGATTCTAAAACACCTTCATTCTTTTATTTGGGAACTTTTTATTAGAGATTAATTCGTAAGCTTCTCATTCATCCAGAGAGTTAATAATATACATGGTGTACACGCCGAATGTAAGGATAGGAAATTAGGAAAGTAAGTATCAATTTACATCTCAATCTATTATATCCTTAATTAGAATATTATGATTACAAATGTATTTACAAAGATATTAGCTAGACACATTTCAATGATTTACTTTGTTTTTTGACAAATTTCAATGATTTACTTTGTTTTTTGACACATTTCAATGATTTACTTTGTTTTTTGACAAATTTCAATGATTTACTTTGTTTTTTGACAAATTTCAACGATCTACTTCTAGAGTTCTAGTTTGTATATTTCTTTTGAAATTAGACACATTATTAAATACATTTTTTACGAGAACAAATTTATATGATTATTATAAATTTATAATAATTATATGTATCAGTGGCGGACCCAAAAACTCAAAATCACGGGGTCCCTACTGTGATGTAACTCTAATTAATAAAAAGAAGATGTAAAATATTAAAATAGCATATTGTTTCATAGTTAGCGTATACACGAATTTTAAAGATATTCCAAAATTTTAAAGAAATGACTACTATCAACTAAAGCTCGTTTGGTAACACTGAAATCGGCTGAATCGGCTGATTCTACTGAAATTTATGAAGTTCTGACCGAAGTGGCTGTATTGGCTGTTTCTGCTGATTATGAAAAATTATATTTAAAATATATTATATTAATAAAATAAAGAAGAAATGATATGAAAAAATAGATAAAATGGTCAACTACAACAACTTCAGTCAATACAGCCTCAAAAGTAAATTCAACCTTATTTTTCTTATTATTACATAATTCAGCGCACAAAATCAAAAGTTACATGTTTGGTTAAAAAGTTGGTTGATAAGCCGAAAAACAGAGTCACAAAACGGGCACTGAAATTTTATAAAGTTGATGTCCTCTAAAAATAATGGCCATGCATATGAGAAATCAAATTTAAAAAGCCTACATTTGAAAATTTTGATCCAATTACTTCGCAATATTTTATTTGGTTTTTTATTTAAAATATATTCATTAGCTTTGTTTCTATTTTAATTTAATACAATTACCAATTTATGTGTTTAACTTTAAGGACTTTAATTTGTTATTGGACCGATTTTAGTCTTAGATCAAACCACATCAAGCCAAATTATGCGATTATGGCTCAAGCGACTGAATCTGCTATATTAGGAAAGAATGATATTTAAATTATATGTTATAAGATATGAAAAAAGTCATATGAAAAAGTGGCTAAGATGATGCTCTTACGGTAACTTCAGTCATCTTGCCGAAAAAATGTTTTTAACTTGCTTATTTTAATTATTACAAATTTAGTGTGTGAATTCAAGAATTACGTGTTTCATGACCAAATTAGTTTATAAAACAGATAAGTTAAAATTCGGGGATACATATTGGTTTTGTAGTAGTATATGTTATGAAAAAAATTGGGCAATAGGATAACAATAGGTACGCACGTACAAAAAGTGGCCATAATTTTATTTTAAAAAAAGTGGACGCCTGGGGAATCGATCATTCAACCTCTGCACATACAAAGCCTTTAAATTGAGCCTCTTACAATTGCTCTAGCTCCGTATTTGTGTCCTTTGCCAATTTTGATTGTATAAATACTTATTCTTTAATTTTATATAAAATATATACAAATATATATATAAGTATTTTTTTGGAGGTCCGTTGGGTCCGGGACCCGTGGGACCCTTATTTGTATGAATGAATGCAAACGTATTGCATACTCATTTGATTTCATTTCCATGTAATAGCTCGTCCCCAAGTCCCCAGTACACTATTTTCCATTTCCCTCCAAAAACATTGCAAGTACTCCGTAATTCATATACACCAGCAGCCAGCAGATGTTTTGGTTCCTTCAGAAAATCCAAATGGCGACTATGCTCATGTGTATATGATTACTTTATGCATGTATAAACAGCTCAATCTCCCCTCACGCCAGCAGATAAGTTCGATTTTATCAGTTACCACCTTGCGCTTTTGATGATGAATGTCGTCAATCGTCCCTTCTTCTGGTGAGTTTTCCCCCATTTGTATGTGATTTTGTTTCAACTCACTGTTTTGAATGCTTTCGGTTCATCGCCAACTGATCCTTCCTTAATGGGTTTTGCCTTTATAAGCTTCGATAATCGATGAAAATGATGAGAAATTTCGTGGGTTTAAGTATTCGTTTATTACGACAATGTGCGACGAGCATTGGGTAGTTAAACTTTGAATGTATTCGTATTTGCATTAGCCTATGAATGATTTGTGCGTGTTCGTGTGTATGTTGGCGTTTTTATGTTCCAGAACATTCTCAGTGACACAGATCAGCGATTATTGAAAGCACAGAGACATATTGGAGGGAGAGTTAGATCTTTTTTAGTTGTTACTCTAGCTGTTCATCATACATTCGTGCTTGCACCTACTCCATGAGGCTCCCTGATTGCGTTAAGAACTTAAGCTGTGAAATCGGAGATGAAATTGTGCCTGATTCTGAAGACGAAGGAATGCATGAAACCGAAGGCATTCATGCCAAAGCACAAATAAGGGGAAGGTGTGTACGCAGGAGAAGATATGCTCCTTCCGATCATTCATGTGAAGGTGAGGATGAGTTGGAACTTTCTCTGGGTCAATAGACAAACGACTTTTAATGAGTATATATTGACTCAATTACCCTTCTAATGTTTTCAGGATACCTAAGGAAGCAGAGGAGTCCTTTGTTGGCTATCAATAGGAACTTAGATGTTGATAAGGGCTTGCAAAATCGGGAGTGCAATGAAAGAGCTAATAATTTGGGCAACTACATTGAATCTCAAGAACCGGAATCTTCAGAAGAAGATGCATTGAAATTTGTTGACCTTTATCTATCAAACAACGAACCAGATGGATTTCATCATGTTGAAACTGGAATGCTGGGTAAGTCAGTGTCACCACCCCGAGTTTTACAACCAAACAGATCTCAAAGTTTGGCAAGGATAAAGAACCGGACACACATTGTGAAGAAGCTGGAAGTATTTGACTGGTGTGACAATTCAAGTGACAATGAAGAGAGTTTTACTCCATTAAACAGAAGAAAAATAAACTTCGACTTTGAGTGCAACGGAGGAGAAGTCTGTGATGGGATCATAGGCGGTCAAAAACAGAAAGCATTAGGTAACATTTGCCAATTGAATTGTGTGGAAGGAAGGTTAAGTGCAAGTGAAATGCAGCAGTCAGAGTTTCAGGGCGTGGACACTAATTTTGTGAATGAGGTTGATGAGAATGCCACTGTGAAATCACCTAAGAATCTTTTGGAAGATGACCAAAATCAAATGGATGTAGCATGTACATATGAGGTAGGCTTTGACACTCAAGTTGCTGCTGAGGCTATGGAAGCTTTGTCTTATACCCTTCCTCTAAATTTGGATCCTTCTTCTAAGCATAAGGGTCCACAAAAAACAGACCAAGTCAAAAGAGTAACTGGTTTTGAATTACCACCCCAAGTGGAATTAGGCTTTCAATTTTCTGGAAAGCTTCCTACAAAGAAAAGAACTTACAGAACATCTTCTAGAAAGTTATGCCATGAGAAAACCTTGCCGAGGAAGTTGGATGTTGATTTTAATCAATTCCAAGTTCAAAAATGTGGTTCAAGTGTCACAAGGAGGGAGGAGTTAGGTAGTAATCAAAGTAGGAAGCAATCATTCTGTAGTTCTTTAGGAAGTCTTAGTGATAGTTTCCAAAACAGTCCAGAGGTTATGAAATCGAAAGATAACATAGGATATTGGAGTCATCCCAGGGGAAAAAGGACATGTAAAGGGATACCCCACCATTCATTTAGAAGGAATAATCACTATGCTTCTTCAAGTGTTGTTTCAAATTGTAAATCTATCACCAATAGTTACAAAGGGCTCTCTAGCTGTCAGTATGGGGACAATTCTACAAATCTGCAATTGGCTGAATCGTATGACCAGTTATCAATAGTATCTGATGTTATGTCATCTGACCAAACGTTAAAAACTGTTTCAAGTGGGAACCATATTGCACCATACATATTCAATGGAATCAAGAAAGGAAGGCAACAGTCTAAATCATTCCTTACTAAAGAACTTACTAAGTTGGGGTACACAGAATCACTTCCTGATTTCATGCCGAGGGATTCAAGGAGGAGGAAAGGTCATGAAAATGTTAAAATCTTGCTCAGCAAGAGTTTGGATAAGAGCATAATTGAACGCCAGAAAAAGGTACTATTTCTGCAGTTATATGTGTACGTTTTGCATTCAACTGATTTAATCATCTGCAATAGGTCAATTGTTAGAGCCTGTTTGGGATGATCTGAAAGAGATAAAAGCATGCTTCTGATAATTTCATACAAAATACGGAGTATGTTGCTTCTTTTATTGAAATTAACACGATTTTACTTGATTGGAAACCATTACTTTATACTACGTACTTTATATGGTTAAAAGCACTTTTCCCCATAAAAAGCACCAAATGGGTTCATTTTATGAGATAAATACTTATTTATAGAAGTGCTTCTTATAAGCCATACGAAATGGACACTTATTAATGGCTATGCTTTGCCTTGCAGATTGTGTCACAGTTGGGCTTTTCCATTACATCTTGCTGTTCTGAGGCTTCCCACTTTGTTTCGGATAAATTTCTAAGAACAAAGAATATGTTAGAAGCAATGGCCATTGGCTTACCTGTGCTTACACATTTGTGGCTTGAGAGTTGTGGACAAGCAAACTATTTTATTGATGAGAAGAATTTCATCTTGAGAGATGATAAAATGGAAAAAGAATTTGGCTTTAGCATGCCTGTTTCACTTGCCCTTTCTCGCCAGCATCCACTTCTGAGAGTAAGCATGTGCACACATTGATTGTGATCACACAGTTTCTACTGTTCAGTCACATGAAATGTTTTCTTAGGTTATGTTTGGATAGAGGGGTTTGGAGGGTCATAGAGGGGAATGCTTCATAGGTTTTAGTCTATAAATGGAGAAATAAAAAAATGAAGTAAACGAATAAAAGTGATTGAAATGTTATATATATGTATTGTATTATATATTTGAATTTTATATGGAGTAAAATCTTAACTTTATATCAAGTTATATACATGGCTCTGAAAAACCATAGGTTTTAGTCTATAAATGGTGAAATTAAAAAATGAAGTGAATGAATAAAAGTGATTGAAATATTATACTACATATGTATTATACGGAGTATTATATATTCAAATTATATACATGTACGGAGTAAAATTTTAACATTATATCAAGTTATATATCTTCCTCTCCAAAGTCCCCATTCAAACAGACACTTATATTGGCTGCAGGGTCATAAAGTGTTTATTACCTCAAATGTGAAACCAAGTAAAGGCATTATCCAGAGCTTAGTGAATGTAGTTCAAGGCCAGGTACACAACATGATAACTTACCCTATGATATTTATCACTAGACATTTTTGTTCCACTTATGTCATTTGGTTTGAGAATTCTGTAATGATTTTGTCGTAGCTTGTTTTGAGAGAGGAATTGTTTTGCATGTTTTGAATAGATCATTTCTTCTTTGTGTTATTGCAACATTATAAAGGTCATTGGTGCAAAATTCTCAATTAATCCATGCCTAGGTCTTCACTCGTGGCGTGTTTGATTGAGGGGAAATATAGTTGAAAACAAATGAAGAGAAGAGACAGGAAGGGAAATTGCATTTTCCGAACTCCACAAGTCCAAAGCATTTCTGTGGCTTGGCAGAGCAGTAATAGGGTACAAATTTTAAAAAACTTTGCGGGTCCTCTCTTTTATACCGTATTCTCTTCAACCAAACAATTTCTAGTTTCCTAAATTTCTCAGACTCTGTATTTCTCTTCTGTTCTTCTCTGACCAATCAAAACCTTAGATCCTACCTAAAACTGATTTATACATGACTAGGTGCTTGCCTTCAATCTGCTGTCTCTAGGGCACTTAGCTCTTTTTACATCATTGTTAATTGTTGCGAGTGTAAACTCCTGATTACATTTTACTTAACCAAACTGACTATGTTGGATGATGTTCCACTTGTGGCACGTTTACCAGGAAGTCACTTTCGAAAGTGGAGATATAATAACTACTCAAGGAGAGATATTAGTTATTTCCTCCGAAGAAGATTACACAACCTGTGCACCATTTCTAAAAAGGGGTGAGATTCAATTGATTAATTTCTCTATTTCTTGTGCATTTCTATTTGTTTGAAAGGCAATTTGTGCTCGATCCTTTCTCTCTGCAGGAACTGCAGTGTACAGTTCGGAGCTTTTGCTTAACGGCATTGTTACTCAGAAACTCAATTTTAAAAGGTTAGTATTATAAGCTTAAAGCTTAAGTTGAAAAGGAAAGCAATATCATCATAATCTGAATTTGTGAATGCATGGCTTTCATATGATTTTTGGCACTTCATGTCTGAACATTTCCACTAGTCCATACGGTTTTTTTTATTTCCTCTTTTATAAAATTTTGGTAAATGTTCCCCGGCAAAAAAAAAATATAAATTAAATTTATAGACTTAAGATATCTTTTATTTTTCCTAGCTTTTTCTTCCATTTGATCATATTCATATGTTTTCCTTCATATTTTAATTTACCAGTACTCTGCTAAAGTTTGTTGTGTAATACAGATATCGGCTGTTCCATGATTCTGTGAAGGAAGACTGCTGAATCTCTCATCCAAGCTAACATGGAGATCATTCATGTACATATCTGTAATGGTTTTTGCAGGACCATAACCTTTCAATGTAACAAACATGTGTAACATTGTGTGAAGCAGTTTTGTGGAAACAGAAAGGTTGAAGGGTAGGCCGGCTGCTAATTATGGCTCCAGTGGTTTGTGTTTGCATTCGACTTGGTCACTTTTTCGCATGTGTTAAAGTTATTTGGCAAACTTTTTAAACGTGGAGACCAACTTTTTTTGGAAACATGAAATGAGGACCAGAGTAAGAAAGCTAAAAATGGAAATAGACAAGTTGAAGAAATATTGTCAATAATTGCACACCAAGGCCCTAATCAGGGCTAAGAGCCTTTTGGTAGTTCATATTAACATGCGGAGCGGAGTGTGTTTTCATATGGTTGTGGTAGGAAAGTCATTTCATTTAATTATTGTTAAATAGATACATGTTAAATGTTTTTTCCATCATTTGCAATGGAGCCAAAGATTCGTTATTTTTTGGCTTGAAATTATGATGGAATAAAGCAAAATGGCTCACTAAACTGTCTGCGCTTCTTTGTTATGGAGCAGCAGTCAGTCCATGCAATCTTGGACGCGATTTTCACTATGGGTCATCCGGAAACAGTCTCTCTGTGCTTTAGTACAGGGGTAAGACTGCGTAAATCCGACCCCCCCTTACCCCACCGTAGGTGGGAGCCTTTGCGGCACTGGGGTAAATGAAAATGATGAGATACATGTTAAATGTTACATTATTCAAATGTTTATTTTGATTGTATTTTATTTATTAAAGTATTAGAATATATTTTTGAAAGATATTAAATTCTCTCCTTTTAAATTTTCAAAATCTGAATTTTTTAATTTTTTTTACTAATAAGAAATGAAATATATCAATGGTCAAAGTAATGTGTTAGCAAACGTGTTAGCAAATGTAAATGTTACCGTAGTATAACTAAAAAAATAGAGAAAGTATTAGTTAAAATGATATGTATGCGTGTATTACTCCGTAATATTGGTGGAGTGAGAGTTGGTCTTTTTTTATTTAAGAAAATCAACCTAATTAGCATTAACCAAATAAAAGGCAAAAGCCTCAACAATACAAATAGGTGGTGTACTCATCCAACTAAGACAATCGGGTATAGAACTAGTTGCTTTAGCCAATGCATGAGTAATTCTTGATCGTTTAACAATAGAAAAGGCAGTATCAGTAAAATTTCTACTAATATTTTAAGATTACCAATCGCTATAAGATTGGAACCATTTTTAAGTTCAGATATGGCAAGTAAGGCATCTGATTCAACTTCCACAAAGTCCCATCCTTGATCTTTAGTCCAACTCGGGGCTTCTCGAATGCCTAATAAATAATAATTCCGCTTCAAGGGGAGAACAACTTCCTCAACCTAGAGATGGTCTTACTTCAGGATGTTTTTAATTGAATTTATTTCAGTCATAAACTAGACCTAACAAGAACACACTAGATTTTAATAGTTGTAATAAGCACATAAAATTTATGACAATATACTTATTAGATCAAATTAAAAGAATTCAATTCAATTAAAAAAAAACATAATATTATTTTTCATTAATAAACTCCCTCCGTCCCCACTATAATTTTGCTATTTTTTCATTTTCTTTTGTCGCACTAAAATTGTCACATACCATATTTGGTAAGATTTGTGTTATTCTAATTCATTCTTGTTTTATTCTCACTTTATCAATTCATTATCAATCATATAATACTACTTTTCTTAAAAAACGCACATCACCTTTGTCCCAATCTTAGGGCCTAGGGGCCGGAGCTAGTAATAAATATGAAATAATTACATATTTATGACTAAAATAAAGATTGTTTACAAAATGTAACTAATGACTGGAGTAATAATGAAATCATAATAGCTTATATTCAAGTTTTAAATAAGTTACCATAACAGTAGATTGTAGTAGCTATTGATTATATTTGTGTAAATAAGTACTCCTTATTATTTAAGTACTCCGTAATATTTTTTAAAAAAATCTCATATACCCGTAATATCCAAAATAAAGGTTGAAGTGTTATTTTCTTTAGTTTTGGTTATTTCATTCAAAAAGGTCATTATGTACTGTTTCAGTGATTTGTAGATCAATCCATTTAACTAAAATATTGGGTGCGTAATGAGAAGATATTATTCCAAACACTGCGGACAAACTCGTATACAATTATTATTTTATACGGTATGCTACTCTTATCTATTAATGTACTAGTATGTGCAAAGATTGGGATGTACTAAATACATGGATTTAATCTTGCATATGATAAGACGTATTTATCACATCAATTGAAATTATTATAAACAGAAAAGTTAAAGGATGTCAGCCAATAATATTTTTATTACATCAAATTAAAAGGTGTATTAGACTTTATACAAAAAGGTGTATTAGACGCATCTTAACATATGCACCAGATATCCCGTTTATAAAATCAAATCCGAAGTATTTCTCAACTCTGCTTATATTATTTGTTAGCAGGTTCATCAGGTTCTTAATTTATTTTATATATCCCCCATTTTCCTCCTTAGTCCTTACGAATTAATAATTCACCAAGAGAACTTCCAGTTGCAGAGATGCATTAATTCAGACACATTGATGTAGCAAGTAAACAATTCAAGGCTCTGCTTCAAGGAAAGACTCATAAACAACTCCATTGGATGTGGAATGAAGCTTCTATATTCTTGGTTTTAAGATGCTTGCACACTTGCCGGAAAGGAGAGCTCCTGTTTATAGGCTACGTTTGGTTGCCTGATTAAGCTCATTCTCTCTGATTGAGCAGCTTTCGTGTTGTTCAGATTATTTCCTCTCAGATGCATCAAAGTATTTCAGTAAACTAAAAGTTCATTGTTGAAATTCGAGTCAGGCCTACTGAAATACAAGAGCTTCCTCATTGGAATAGATGTTACCAAACACAATTCTCTTTTGAGAAGACTTCAGTTAAAGTCCTACCAAACAGACTCAATTATTGTCCCCTTCTGGGATTAACATCTCAGAAACTTGTAATATTGGATACATCTTAACATGGGCACATGGCTTCTTAATTTAAACATTGGTTAATATAACTGTTGATTCTTCACCTGATACTCTGATAGAACTTATTCATGAGATAGCATCAGAATTAGTCCTAGACAATTGTGCTAATACCCAATTCAGATCCAAAATTCTAGCTTGGAATTGTTTACCCCTTGGCTTTTATTTCTTTTGTCTGTAAAAGAAACAAGCCTAACGTCCCCAAATGCCCAATATATTGTCAATGAGCCAATGAAGAGTCGTTATTCATCTCTCATTTTAATCAAGAAAATGGATATGGCCTCTAGTGACATAATGAAGAGAGTAAGCATATGTTTGACAAAGAAAAGACAGAAAAATATTAGTGAAGCAAAAACACACTCCGTAATAAAGAAGTGAAAGATGAGGGACCAACTAATCTAATTTAAAAGTTGGGTCTAAAGTAGATGATGTCACTCGAAAACCTTTATATTCTACAATAATAATCCGTAGATGATGTTTCTACAATAATAATTTGCTGGTCTGGTCTGGTCTTGTCTGGTCTGGTCTGGTTTCTTTGTATTTTTATAAATATTCAAGTCTGGTCTGGTCTGAACTGGTCTGGTCTGAACTGGTCTGGTCTGGTCTGGGACGAATTACGGTCCAAGTAAAAACATCTGAAGTCAAAGTATTGATAAAAATAATCCGAATTAATAATGATAATCACCCGAATAAATGTTTAATACTCCCTACCCTGCCCCACTTTGTCTTTCCACACTCTTACTCAATCTCGGGTAACCTTTCTATCTTTCAAGCTAGATATATAGTCCACGATTAGTCCTCGTCTTTCATTTTATCCATTTTTGGTACCTGACTATTGTTTTCTTGACCATATATAGTCCTTTTCCGATAGTAAAAATGCTCAGAAATGGACCACAAATGGTCAAGAAAACAATAGTAAGGTACCAAAAATGGATAAAGTGAAAGACGGGGACTAAATATGGAAATGACACAAAACTCGGAGGACCTAAAGTGGAATTAATTCTTTCAAGCTAATATGCTATTTCCATCATCTCTTATTTTCTTGCCTTTCTTGATCTGCACTGACTTTTTTAGCTTAGCAAGTTTGCATTCTTCCTGAAAATTTCATCCTTTTCTGATCATGAAGTTTACTAAGCCTCTTAATCGCATCTAGGGATTCCAGTGGCCGCAAGATTCATAAGAATCCAAAATCTATTCGATTTTCTATATTTTCAAACAGTGGTAAGAAGAACCAAGGCATATTTTTGAAAATCTCATTCACTAAGTCACCTTAAGAGGAGAATTGTGCTGAGTGGTGGATGGGGAATAGCCAATGGACTAACACAAGTTTTACATGGCATATTTTTGTGGACACCATCTTGACTAGAGATTCTATTTAAAATACGAATTATTATTGTAGAATCAGGTTAATCAGTGATCCCTTTAATTAGTATTCAGTACTGTTCTTATAAGTAGATGATTTTCGGCACATATCCTATACTAATAAAGCAAAAAAATTATTTATAATTTGAAAAAAGAGTTATATATTCCAAAACATCTGGGATTTTGGGGGGGTAAATGTGATGGTCATATAAGACTAGTAGCGTCGAAATTTAAGTTGAATGAAAAGAAGAAAAAGATACGGAGTATAACACCTAAAATTCCTGCGAGGCAGAACCGATATCGCCCTTCCCTTTCTTGGTGGGCAAGAGATGTTGATGGATGTTGGGCAAAACGCCGCCGTTTGCAATGGTGACGTCACCCAGAAGCTTGCTGAGCTCCTCGTCGTTCCTCACCGCCAGCTGAATATGGCGAGGAACAATCCTGTTCTTCTTGTTATCCCTCGCCGCATTCCCCGCCAATTCCAGTACCTATTCAGTATCCAGCCATAGGAAAATAGAGAATTCGAAACTCTCAGCTCGACGATTCGAAACCGGAAAAATTCACCTATCGGGATTAAATAAAAACACTCACCTCGGCGGCCAAATATTCGAGAACGGCGGCGAGATAGACAGGGGCGCCGGCGCCAACACGATCGGCGTACTTACCAGCTTTGAGAAAACGCGCGATTCTGCCGACGGGGAATTGTAGGCCGGCCTTGTGAGATCGGGACGTAGATTTGACGGCCTTGGGCTTGCCTCTGCCGGAACCTGCAGAACTCATTGTTTTCCCGATTGACGGAAATCCAACGGATTTGCAAGAAGATTGATTAGAAATAATATTCAGACCCGATTATCATAAACAATTAGATTTATTTCATGGGCTAAGTGGCTTTCGAGAAACAATTTTGACCCTTCATTTGAGCGAAAAAAGGAAGCCCAAATTTAACCATTTGCAATAAACGCCTAATTATTAAATCGAATAATATTTGCTTGGTATGTTTTTTGAAAACCAAAATGACCTTGACCGTTTTTAATAATCCAACGGAGTATGTTTTAAATAAATGGTCGGGTTGGATTTTTGAAATTAATTTTGAATTAATTAATGGGGGCGCATGGCTATCATTTGGAACCCTAACTTGATAAATTGTGTGTTTTTGGAAAAAGAGAAGCAACACTTGCATGTTAGATGTGTTTGTCGTATTACACAGACTCCCTTTTTTGCCACTTTTGTATATCCATTATACACGGTTCTTGAAACTAAGTCTCTTTAATTGGGACCACTTGACCTTTGTTTGAGACCAATTGGTGGAACCTTGGATGATACGTGGTGATTTCAATTGTATTTGTGCGCCTAATGAGAGGGTGGGTCCTACCCCCACCCCCCTACGATGTATGTAATGCAACATTTACTTGATTTCAAGGTCTTCACTAGCCTACAAGATGCACCCTCTACGGGAGAGTTCTTTACTTGGAACAAAAGTGCACTTTGGGCTAAACTAGACCGAGTTTTAGTTAATGACGTTTGGGGACTTAATGGCATCGGCTGTAGGGTCCATTTTCATGAAATGGAGGTAGAGTTTGACCATCCGGCTTCCGTTGTGTCAATATAATACTCCTAAATTCCTCTTCTAGACCCAAGCCGTTTAAATTTTTTAACATGTGGTTAAAACATTCTGATTTTGCCAATATATTAGCGATGCATTGGAACCAAAGTTACGTTGGAATGGCTCAATTCACCTTGGTGAAGAAACTTAAGGGGCTCAAAAGGCCCCTAAAGTCTCTAATTGCCACAGAATTTAGCCACATTTCCAATAAAGCAAAGATGGCAAAGGATGAGTTCAAGAGATTGCATAAATTGGCGTTTCAAGATCGGGGGATCAAGAAGATAAGGTCCAGCTGTCCCAAGATTCAAAGAGGGTCATTTTCCTTGGTGAAGCCAAACCAACCTTTTTCCAACAAAGAGCTAAGGCTACACATATCCTTGAAGTGGACAAGTGCACCAAGTATTTTCATGCAATCGTAAAAAGGAATTTGGAAAGAAATACTATCACATCACTTACGTTGGAGGATGATACGCTTACTACCTCCTTAGATCCGGTGGGGAGTGAATTTGTTAATTTTTTCGTTGATTTATTTGATACTAATAGTGCATGCCATGCTTTGGACCCATTGGTTTTACCCTCGGGTCCTTTGAGCAAAGTGCTCATGCGAGCCTCATTGCCCTGGTCACAACATTGGACATTAAAAATGTCCTCTCTGATATTGGCAATGATAAGGCTCCGAGTCCGGATGGATACTCTTCAGCCTTCTTTAAGGCAAATCAGGACATTATCGGGAATGACGTAGTCCTAGCCATTAAGGAGTTCTTTCGTTCGGGAAAGTTGTTAAAATAGATTAATCATACTGTGATAGCTCTTATACCTAACACGAATCACTCCCCAAAGGTCTCGGACTATAGACCCATCTCGTGTACGAATGTCTTATACAAGATTATAACTAAAGTACTTGCGGCTAGATTAATTCCGTATCTCCCGGGATTAATTGATCATGCCCAAGGGGCTTTTGTGGACGGCCGCCTCATGGTTGATAACATTTTCCTTGCCCAGGAACTTGTTAGAGGATACACGAGGAAGCGGATCTCACCGAGATGTATGATCAAGGTGGATTTGTTGAAGGCATATGACACTATTTCATGGGAGTTTCTTGATATGGTTCTCAAGGGATTGGGCTTCCCTTTGAGATTTGTCGAATGGATAATGGAATGTGTTACAACGGCGTCATTTCTTGTTTCTTTAAATGGGTCGCTATACGGGTTTTTTGAAGGAAAAAGGGGCATCCACCAAGGAGATCCTATGTCTCCTCTTTTGTTTGTCCTTTGTCTTGAATATTTTTCCCGATCACTCAATATGAGAACCAAGGGACCAAGGTTAAATTTTCATCCGAAATGTGCGTCACTAAATATTTCGCACTTGGCCTATGCGGATGATCTAATGTTATTCTCCAAGGGAGACAAGTCTTCCATTGAAATACTTGTCAAAACTCTACAAGATTTTGAGGACGTATTGGGCCTAAGGGTGAATTATAACAAGTCAAGCATTTTTATTGGCGGCGTAAATGAGTTTGAACTTCAAAATATATTAGATATCGTGGATTTTGGGCAAGGAAATTTTCCGGTCAAGTACCTTGGAATTCCCCTTGCTCCCCTTAAGGTATCAGTGGCACAATTTGCCCCGTCACTTGATACGATTTTGGATTTTTTAAATGCTTGGAATACGAAATCTATTTCTTATGCCGGGAAAATTGAGCTTATTGTTAGGAAATTGATGTAACGTACCTCGAAAGTACAACAGCGGAAGTTTAAAACTTTCCCAAACAGATCTTCCCTGATTATGACAAAACAACGAATAAAACAATAATAACAGATCTGAGTCAGAACTTACAGATCTTCCAGCCTAGCAGTGATAATCCTTGACCTTTGGTATCCACGTGATTTCTCCTTTCTGAAAGAACGGTTAGATCTCCCTAAGAGAAAGGCTAGGAAATCTCTTCGCAGGGAAATAAACTGGTAATACTGAATCTGGAAAAACTGGTCTGCAAATTATGAAGGAGAAGGATGTATTTATACTAGTTCGAAACTAGTTTCCCAATCACAATGAAAGTCTTTCTAATTAATGAGTTCTAATCCTATTAGGACCAATACTCCTAATTAATTAAATAAGTAGATAAAACAAAACAAAATAATAATAATAATAATTGAGATGTGGCTGCACGCCACTTTCTAATTATTATATATTAATATTTATTTTATTTACTTTTCTTTTAATTCCAAATTACAAAAGAAAATATCTACTTTATTTAATAATAAATACATCTTAATTAAGTATGATAAATCTAATTTATCTTACTTAATTAATTCTATCAAATAGAACTCTCCTTCAGCTTCATGAATTAAATATGTTTAATCTAATTAATATTTAATTCATTTTCAGTATTACGAATTAAATATTATTTAATCCAATTAATAATATTTAATTCCTTCTAACAATTCAATCGGAAGGTATAATCACTTGTTGTGTGACCCATAGGGCCTTATATATTAAGCACTAATCAAATTAAGGTCTTAGCGAATCCCTAGACGATTCTCCAGACAAACTTAATATATAAGGACGTTTGCGAGGACTATACAAACTCCCTGTAATATAGAGCTCATAGTGATACGGTCCTTTCATTCAGCGAACATTCAACTAAGTCTAGAACATGATATTGTGTCTATCCCAATAACTCAGTCTCTGTCTCTCAATCTTTCTAGATGATCCATAACGATCATATTCGATATCCAAAACGAATATATCTTTGCATTGGCCAATGACTTTATGATCCATCTAGATATGAGAAGTAGAATGTTCTCTCTTAATCTATTATGAGGAATGAATCCTTTCTTGGCTCAACTACTACTCCATGTGCTTCGTGATGCACCCAACACATGCCGTATCTACCCCGATTGGAGTGCAAGCGTTTGTCATGGTCAAAGTACATCACTCCGCACATGTAGTACGTATTGACCTCAAGTCGGAGGACTATTACACTACTCTATACGCCGATAATCCCATAGACACATGAATAGAACTTATCAAATGGTTTCTCGGTGGGTATGCCAATATTCTCTAAAATATCTATGTGACCATCATGAATTACATGAACTCATAGTTGTGAGATCAACTATACTTTCTAAAAGTATGATGCAGTCCACATACCAATCTTATCACATATCATCAATATCCCATTCTTGATGATCATTGATTGGGGCTATTTTAGGACTTTATGTTATATCTTATAAGCTCCCACTTACTTATTGACAACATAAGTCCAAGGGAACACAATTATGAATAAGATATTGACAATCAAATACTTAATCATCAATGTGTAATACCGTATATATCAAATATATAAAACTGAATGTGATCAAGTACATATATCTCTAAAAGGTGATTGTCGCTAGGACATATATACTAACAATCTCCCACTTGGCCTAGTGCCAATCACCGATGCGTCTAACACCTAGTCTCTTAAAAGTCTAGTATGTTTCTCGCATCTCAAAGGTTTGATGAATGGGTGAGCCAAATTTTCCACTACAGGAAGCCATTCTATTGCAACTTCTCATCTTGCTATTTGTTATCAAACACGATAGCATACTGGTATTTTCTAGTTCCTTACTTTGCATCTTGGTTCCTTAGCTTGTGCAAATGCGCCGGCATAGTCACAATAACAATTATTGGATAACTTTCGCTAGGAACTACCTCTATTTCCTTAAGGAACTAACGTATCTAAACGCTTACCTATGTTGCATCAAATGCAACAACTTACTAGCCTCTAGTTGTCGAATTTACAATAGTTTCTTACTTGCAACTCTTGCAGCATTACTATTACATTGAGACTAAAAACATATACTAGCTGTGACTCGTAGTCTTTCTTATCATACATGAAACTAGTGCTAGAATAATTAAATTCTACTAGTTCTTTCTGTCTATCATAGACAAAAGATATTCATGAATATTTTTTGTGACCATTCTTTCATTGACTTCAATGAGGGGATATCATTCTCTATGATCAACATATATGATTGTAAAGACCACGCTATCCTTGTTGCGCACTCTAAACACGCAAGCACCCTCATTTCATTTGATGAGGTCAAATGATATGACTTTTTCATCAAAATTAATATTTCAACTCCTAGATGCTTGTTCTAGCCCATAAATAGATTTCTCTAATTAACATATTGAATTAGAATTTGATATGGATATAAAACCTTTAGGCTGTACCATGTACACCTCCTCCTTGAGGTTTCCATTAAGGAAAGGGGTTTTGACATCCATTTGTCAAATCTCATAATCATATTGAGCAGCTATAACAAGCAAAATCAAAATGGAATTGAGTTTTGCAACTGGTGAATAGGTATCACTATAGTCAATTCCTTTTCTTCGACTATAACCTTTAGCCACTAGCCTAGCTTTGTATGTTCTCACCTTGCCTTCAGCATTATTTTTCTCCTTAAAAATCATTTTGCATCCAATGGGTCTAACCCAACAGGCAAGTCAACCAAGTTCCATACTTGATTGATACACATCGAGTCCATTTTTGATTTTATGGCTTCTCGCCACCTCTATGAATCAACATCTAATATTGCTTCTCAGGTTCATCCGTATCAGGAATCTTAACATCATCATGATCCTCCATGAGGAGGCCTAACCTAGTTAGTTCATGATGAATCCTAGTAGACCCGTAAAGTTGAATGTTTTGCGTTTTGTTCATGTTGTTCATTCTGATCGTGAAGAGGTTCTCTTTCATTGGACTATCCAATGCTTAGAGAGTTTTCTGGTGCTACACTTTTAAGTGTTTCCAGAGAAAGAGAAGTGGGTGCAGAAGGAATGACAACCATGTCATCTTATCTTTAATAAGAATCACTTGCTGGTGCGAGATGATTCCTATATTACTCCCACTAGCTGAAGGATATCCTCCTAGAGACATTCTTCAAGTCAATTCTCCCACTGAATCCTTCGTCACACCATCTAACAAATCTTCATTCTCTATGTTACTTCAGCTTTCAATTTGATTAGTGCACATTTCTTTACATATGTAGGGCAACCCATATTTAATATGTGAAGAAAATGTCTTTTATTATACTATAACTCATACAGTACATTTTGCACTAATCAAACTATTCAGAATGTATATTGAGATTTATAGTGTGTACCCTCAAAAGAATGTTTGGAAGAGAAAATGAATTCATCATAGATCTAGCCATGTCTAACAAAGCCCTATTTCTCCTTACAGAAACGCCAATCTTCTAAGGTGTTCTGGAGGAGTTCATTATGACCGAATTCTTTGACTTTTTAAATAAATTAGAAATTTTACTTAAGTACTCTTTGACTTGCTATCCTTTTTCCTAGAAAAGGATTATTAGTCAAGTTGCTTGAAAGACAAGATTCGCAATTTCCATATGACTCAAAAGCAAATGGTGTTAAATAATCTAATTCATTTAACGGTGCTATTCTTGTTTCATTAATTTGACCAAGTTTGCAATGTCATAGATAGGTAGTAATTTTTCTGATTACTTAATCGAGATCCTTTTATTTTATCATTTAATATCTAATATATCGATTGATAATTAACCATTCATAAGAAAAGCATTTCCACAACAACACCATTTTATAAAAATAACAATTATTATTAGCAAAATGGAAATAAAAATCTTTTAATGTCTAACATATGAATGGAAATAATCTTCTTGGTAATAGAATGAATAAAATAACAATTATTTAATTCTAATCTAAAACCACTGGGCAAATCTAAACTATAAGATCCTATCACGTTCAGCAGCAACTTTTGCTCCAGCCTTCACGCGTAGGTCAATTTTACCCAGTCCAACTGCTACACTGCTTCTCAGGCTTCTGCACATTTTTACAAATGTGTAAGCCATAAGTTGTATCTAATACTTTAACAATGAGAGTTAGTTATATACATATTTATTTAATGATAAAAATACCTGAGCTTGAAGCACCCGGTGCTTTGGCTAGATTAGCCTTATACAGCTCACAATCTCTCTTCCAATGCCCCTTCTCTTTGCAGTAGAGGCAAACATCTTTTGCAACCTTTAGCTTCATATAACCTCCACCTTTAGGCTTCAGAGCTGTAGGAGTAGGTCCAACCTTACCTTTCTTTTTTTGCTTATTCTTGTTCTTAGAACGAGACTTAGCATTAGAGCTTACCATAAGAACAGTCTTTCCTTTAGAGGTTGAGACTTCATAAGACTTGAGCATGTTATGGAGTTCAGGCATGGTCGCTTTCGTTTTGTTCAAATTATAATTCACAATGAAGTTAGTAAATGAACTTGGAAGCGAATATAGGATGATAGCAGCTGAGACACGATCCTCAAACTTAATTCCGGTGGTAGCAATCCTTTCAATTAAGCCAATCATTTTGAGGACGTGCTCAGACACGTTGCCACCCTCTTGAAGCCTACACTTGAAAATGTCTGTCAGAAGTTCATACTCTAGAGTCTGACTTTCTGAATCAAACAGACTTTTCAAGTGTTCAAGCATCTCGAAGGCGCTCATCCTATCGTGTTGCCTTTGCAACTCCATAGACATTGCAGCCAACATAACACATTGCACTGTTTTAGCATCAGTGGCGTGTTTCTCTCGAGCGGGCAGGTCAAACGTTGCAAACTCAGGAGAGTTGGCATCAGGAATCTTGGGTACCGGTGTGTCTAACACATACTCAATATTTTCTTGTCTAAGAACTAAACGCACATTTCTTTCCCAGTCCAGAAAATTTGGTCCAGTAAGCTTGCACGTATCCAAGATACTTCTCAATGATAAATTCGACATTCCTAAGAGCCTAGAGAAGTTCAAATAGAACGGGAATTAAAATCATATATTAATTCCTATGATCACATTTAGTAAACTAAATAAGTTGGACTTTTAATTATTTAGCTCCCACTATTTTTCATGTTCTTTGACCCCAAAAAAAAACATAGATTGTTTTGACAATCATAGTGGCCAAGATCCACATTCATATTATAACAGTCTCAGCTTGGGCTGATCACTGCAATAATATAATGGGTAGGTCCCTAGACCAATTGTGTCCAAACAACTCTTGGTTGATCAATTTTTAAATTGATCGACATCCTTAAATTAACACTGACGCTTGGGCGACTCGAGCTAATTTAAGTAAGTCAAAACCATCACACGATCACAAACATATGTATCTATAAATTAGTTCTATATTTTGTCGAATGGAATAAACACTTGGGTGAAATATTCTTCAACAAAAAAATATTTCTACTAATTTAATTATGATGGGTGATGTTGTTATCCTAGATAAGACTTAAATTTTAATTTATGGGGAACGTTTAGCGGGTATTAAATTACATAAACAAGATGTTAAAGCATATTATCAAATAATATGTTAACGAGATCTAACTCATACTTAAAATTAAAGCATGCAATATAAATCTAATTTATAAATTGATACTATAGTCAAACAATAAAGTAAAAGCACGTTAAATAATAATATAACTGGTTAAATTAAAATTAATCCATAACTAGTTTAAATATAGTTAAGGATAATCTTAATTCAGTCACTATTATGATTCTAGTTAAAATAAAATAGTCCTAAGGTCTCTTCAAAGTATTTCAATTTGAGTGGAGTAGAGCAGCCGTTCTATTTAGCTTAAAATTTCTAAAATTTTCAACCAAGTCCTTGGGTTAAATCTAATTTAGGGAAAAGTACGGATTAGATACCTGTGGTTGTGGGCGTTTTCACTTAGGGGTCTGTGATGATCTTTGTAACAAACGCAGCCTCGTGTTTTGCTACCGTTACCACCCGTGGGGTCTATTGGACCTGGCCGTTAGTTAAATGCGACGTGGCATATATTTTTTCCAAATAGGCTCCAGCGTGGCCAATGGCATAAAGCTCTTCCGAACTGGAACCAAACGCGGCCTTATCCTCCTCATGGACAAAAGCATCTCCCTATCCAAACGCAACGCTCTCATCAAATCCGGGTGGAAGCTCCGATTCATCAAGAGGATCCGAAATCCCAGATCCGAGAAGGGCACCTACAACGAATACAACTACAGCAAGTTCCGGCTATGGCAACATCGATTTCCTCTTTGGATTTCCTCAGATGTCCGCCTCCGGGAACGACGGATCTATATTTAACTCCGGCGTGATGGTGATAGAGCCCTCCGACTGCACGTTCCAAATGCTGATGCAGCGCCAGGAGGAGATCGTCTCCTACAACGACGGCGACCAGGGCTTCCTCAACGAGGTGTTCGTCTGGTGGCATAGGTTGCCGAGGAGGGTGAATTTCCTGAAGAACTTCTGGTCAAATTCCTCCGCCGAGTCCGGATTGAAGAACGAGCTATTCGGGTCGGATCCTCCCGAGCTTTATGCCATACACTATTTGGCCACGCTGGAGCCTATTTGGAAAAAAATATATGCCACGTCGCATTTAACTAACGGCCAGGTCCAATAGACCCCACGGGTGGTAACGGTAGCAAAACACGAGGCTGCGTTTGTTACAAAGATCATCACAGACCCCTAAGTGAAAACGCCCACAACCACAAGTATCTAATCCGTACTTTTCCCTCTAATTTAAACAAAAGCAACCCAAGAATCCAGCTCCAGATTTTGACAAGCTGATCTAACCATCGTCCTCCTGACTCCCACAACGTAGAGAACACAGAAGAATGAAACTGACGGCCTGATAGGCTGATCGTTTACGACTTGACGTAGCCACACAAGAATTTAAGAATCGATGAGCCAGTTAGGGGCTTGATCCGGCGGCGAACAACGTCATTGGCTTTACCGCGTCGGCCATCGTCTGGGGTTAATCGTCGCCTCGTCTGCTGCTACAGCTCGCAAATCGACGTCGTCTAGAATATTTATTCGCAGCCGAGATAGATAATCCAGTTGCATCGCCAAGAAAGAATAGCAAGAACGGGATCGTGCGCTCCGCCTCTTTCGCAGATCTTCGTGTTCAAAACAACATGTCTCCATTAATGGAGGTCGACGATAAGAAGCAAAGGAGACAAAAAGTTTGATTATTGCAGCAGGAAAAATAATTTGTAGCCATTCTAAACAACTAAAACAGAACTCCGTAGATCCTAAATCTTCGGTGAAAAAAAAAAGGTCGAGTTCCATTTTGATACAAAAACAAATTTCATCTAATTGCTATAATTAGATAAGGGCAAAACGAATTTCTGGAGACAAAAATTCATAACTCTACCCACGAATATACCATCAAAAATTCGTATAATGTCATTAAAATCAGTTTGGCTCTGATACCACTGTTAGGAAATTGATGTAACGTACCTCGAAAGTACAACAGCGGAAGTTTAAAACTTTCCCAAACAGATCTTCCCTGATTATGACAAAACAACGAATAAAACAATAATAACAGATCTGAGTCAGAACTTACAGATCTTCCAGCCTAGCGGTGATAATCCTTGACCTTTGGTATCCACGTGATTTCTCCTTTCTGAAAGAACGGTTAGATCTCCCTAAGAGAAAGGCTAGGAAATCTCTTCGCAGGGAAATAAACTGGTAATACTGAATCTGGAAAAACTGGTCTGCAAATTATGAAGGAGAAGGATGTATTTATACTAGTTCGAAACTAGTTTCCCAATCACAATGAAAGTCTTTCTAATTAATGAGTTCTAATCCTACTAGGACCAATACTCCTAATTAATTAAATAAGTAGATAAAACAAAACAAAATAATAATAATAATAATTGAGATGTGGCTGCACGCCACTTTCTAATTATTATATATTAATATTTATTTTATTTACTTTTCTTTTAATTCCAAATTACAAAAGAAAATATCTACTTTATTTAATAATAAATACATCTTAATTAAGTATGATAAATCTAATTTATCTTACTTAATTAATTCTATCAAATAGAACTCTCCTTCAGCTTCATGAATTAAATATGTTTAATCTAATTAATATTTAATTCATTTTCAGTATTACGAATTAAATATTATTTAATCCAATTAATAATATTTAATTCCTTCTAACAATTCAATCGGAAGGTATAATCACTTGTTGTGTGACCCATAGGGCCTTATATATTAAGCACTAATCAAATTAAGGTCTTAGCGAATCCCTAGACGATTCTCCAGACAAACTTAATATATAAGGACGTTTGCGAGGACTATACAAACTCCCTGTAATATAGAGCTCATAGTGATACGGTCCTTTCATTCAGCGAACATTCAACTAAGTCTAGAACATGATATTGTGTCTATCCCAATAACTCAGTCTCTGTCTCTCAATCTTTCTAGATGATCCATAACGATCATATTCGATATCCAAAACGAATATATCTTTGCATTGGCCAATGACTTTATGATCCATCTAGATATGAGAAGTAGAATGTTCTCTCTTAATCTATTATGAGGAATGAATCCTTTCTTGGCTCAACTACTACTCCATGTGCTTCGTGATGCACCCAACACATGCCGTATCTACCCCGATTGGAGTGCAAGCGTTGGTCATGGTCAAAGTACATCACTCCGCACATGTAGTACGTATTGACCTCAAGTCGGAGGACTATTACACTACTCTATACGCCGATAATCCCATAGACACATGAATAGAACTTATCAAATGGTTTCTCGGTGGGTATGCCAATATTCTCTAAAATATCTATGTGACCATCATGAATTACATGAACTCATAGTTGTGAGATCAACTATACTTTCTAAAAGTATGATGCAGTCCACATACCAATCTTATCACATATCATCAATATCCCATTCTTGATGATCATTGATTGGGGCTATTTTAGGACTTTATGTTATATCTTATAAGCTCCCACTTACTTATTGACAACATAAGTCCAAGGGAACACAATTATGAATAAGATATTGACAATCAAATACTTAATCATCAATGTGTAATACCGTATATATCAAATATATAAAACTGAATGTGATCAAGTACATATATCTCTAAAAAGTGATTGTCGCTAGGACATATATACTAACACTTATACGTTCGGTGATCCAAGGGGTCCAATTGTTTTGGCTACAAGTCTTTCCGGTACCGTGGGCAATTTTGGATAGAATCGTATCCATTTGTAGAATTTTTCTATGGGGAGGGAAATACGCCAAGGTGGCATGGGATGATATATGTCTTCCTAAAGAAGAAGGAGGGCTTGGCATACATAACGCAAAAGTTTGGAACCAAGCCCTTCTATCTCGTACACTATGGGACGTCCATTTAAAAAAGGACTACCTTTGGGTGAAGTGGGTTAACGGCGTTTACCTCAATGGTAAAAGTGTGTGGGATTTTGTCCCACACAGCCGGGATTCACATTTTATGAAAAGTTTGGCATCAATCAGGGACAAAATAAGGAGTTGTTTTAATAATCAAAATGATACCATAATGGGATTAGCCTCTAAATCCATTAATGGTAAACTAATTTCAAACAAAGTATACGATTTATTGAGAACAAAGGGGACAGTTAGGGTATGGATGAGTTTCATTTGGAAATCCTATATCCCTCCAATGTTCTCATTCATGACTTGGCTTGCATTTAGAAACAAGCTACCTACCCAAGATAGCCTCGACTATATGCATATAGTTAATAGATGTGACCTTTGTAAGGGTGACTTGGAGATAATGCCACACCTCTTTTTTCTTTGCCCGTTTACGTGCAGAATATAGGAAATGATTAGAGAGTGGATGGGCATGGACAACCAGATGACCACGCTGCAGAGTTCGATCAAATGGATACTTAAGAAGCACAAAGGTTCAACCTTGAAGACGAAGGCTGTCCGGCTTGCGTTCTGTGCCACGTCATACCACATGTGGCAGGCTAGGAACGCTTGTAGATTTGATGAAAGCACGAAGACGGAAGATGATGTTATTGCGAAGATTAAACATGTGGTGTATAAGATATTATTCTCTATATACCCACATGACTTGATCAGAATTTGAGGATGGACTGCTTCTTTACAAATGGAGAGGCCACCGCTCTCACCTTTGGACTTGTGTGTTTGCATCATGTAACACCCCCGAATTTTTGCTTGTTTTGGCTAAGGGTTATCTATACCCTCTTTTCAGCCTTGATCTTTTTGTTACTCTTATGATCTGTGTGCGTACATTGTTGGCAACACCAATTGGTTTTTGGGCTTTGGGGTGATTAGTATTGTATACTTGGGCCCCATTGGTTTTTGATTTTGGATTAGATCAAATAAAAACCTCTCATAACCCCTACACTAGGTAGGAGGGATAGGAGATCTAGAACCTTTGATGTATAATTTTCTTTGGGTGTTAATACAAATTTTCATTTTATCCCAAAAAAAATAAATGAGAAGTCATGACATTATTTTCAATTGTTACAACAATTTTAGTGAAGTTCGAAAACTTTACCAGCCATTTTTGGCAATCTAGAAACTTTCTACCACTCTCACGTGTGACACATAGCGGAGCTTTGAGTTAACACCAACAATAGAATGGGGGTTCATAATTTAGGGTTGTTCTTGCCGCAGAAGTGGGCGAACTGATTGACTTGCTTCTCGTGGAGTTTTGACTGCCACTCATGAAAGCCATGTCCAATTTCTTCGAGTGGCCAAACGAAGAAGATGAACAAAAGAGTACAGTCAAAAGGGTTGAAGAATGGCACAACTTTCACGTGAAGAAGAAAGAGAAGTGATAAGAATGAATAAATAAAGTTAGCTAAAAGCTGATCTGGTAAAAGTAAAGAAAAGGGAAAATGTTAAATGACATGTCACTCATTAAAAGCTGATCAACAACCCACATCAGCGCCATCAAATGCTCATCGGATGTAACAGGTTTGGAACAGGTCAAAAGGGACCAATTGCATTAATTTTCCGGGTTAAAGTGTCTATTAGTGAGGTCAACAGGTTTAGGAGCTCAATTGCAAATATGCAAATAGTTCGAGGGCCTATTTGCTGGAAATTAAGATTAAGAACCGGATCTACAGAAATGTGTTGGACCGGGCTTAGGGGTGGGCAAAAATACCGAAAAATCAGTATACCGCACTTATCGTACCGAAAACTACCGAAAAATATCGGAATATTCGTATACTGTCATTTTGATACCGTACCGATTTATTTCGGCACGGTAACGGTAAATGTTTTCAAATATCACGGTATACCGGTAAAATACTGTACCAGCTTCATACGCAACAATTAATTTAAATTCTAAAATATTGTAAAAGTCCTTTACAATTTTGAAGCCCAAAATTAATACTTAGGGTGGTTGCACATGCTAAAATACAAGTGGAAATATCCAGTTAGGTTCACTTTATCCGATTGCATTTCACTTATGTCTCCTAATAATTTACTTTTCATTTAAAACTTCCCCTTTTTCAGTTTTAGCTTTTTTATTTCAAAAAAAGTCTAAAGACTCTAAACGCTAAACCCAAGTACCCGATAAATCCAACACATCAAAATTTCTCTATGCATCTGGCTTCAATGCTTCATCTTCTCGAAGCTCAGATTCCGTCCATCTTACATACTTCTAGATTGATGAATTTCCTCAACTGCTTCCAATTTTGAAATAATTTTTCTAAATCATAAATACCTAAATCGTCGTTCTCATCTTCGTTCTTCTAAAAGACATGGGGGAGGATGGAGTCAAAACCTTTTGCAGTTTTATTCTCTTCGCCGTCCAATCTCCCCCGTGCAGCGGCTTCTCATCCCACTTCTCTCTTCGGCGATGGTGTTTCCTCTTTGTGCAGCCTTCATGGTTTAATCCTACTCTCCTCTCCTCGAATTTTATATCCTCTGCGTCAAAACCTACAAATATCAACTCAATAGGCGTTAGCAGCTCCTGAGCAGGACCAAGATGATATTGAGTTCCATGCTATTTCTGCTTGAGAGTTCCAGAGATGCAGCACAGTCAAGAGCTTGAGTGACACTAGGCTTGGGTCGTTGTTTAGAGTCTGGTGCTTGTTTAACTTGTTCTTTGATTTTTCAATAAATAGGTAATTTGTTTATATGCCTATTGTTTGGTTCTAATTTGATGTACGAATAGACCTAAATATAATTTATTTTAAAAATATCATCACATTCTTTATCTAAAAAGGTGTGCATTGTTTTGTGTTGCTTTTTGTTGTAGGTATTGCATTTTGTTGCATTGGGTTTTTTTTGTTGCATATTGCTACTCTTGTTGTATTGTGTTTCTTATGATTGTTTATTGTTGATTTTTATTTTTGTTGTTTATTTAGATTTCAATTTATTTTTCTAAGAAACAAAAACCAACAATAAAACACAAATAAATCATAAGAAACATTAAAAAACATTAAAAAACAAAAATTTCAGAATTATCAACAAAAAGAAACACAAATAAATCATAAGAAACAAAAACCAACAATAAAGTGATAATACTAATAATTAAAATTTTAAGTACTTTAAGAAAAATTACATTCAAAATTCTGTATATTTAATTTTTTTGAATATGTAATTATTTTTCAAGGGGTTAGGTCATGAATATTACTAATTAAAAGCGTTTGGACAAATATATGACCTCTTTCAATAATTTCCAAAAATGAAACCATCCGTATGATCTATTAGTAACTTTGGAATGGAATTATCAAATATGTTCCTCCTTAATAAATTAATACTCCATATGCAATGAACTAATTCATATGCCGAGGTAATCATGTTTCACTCTTGTTCTTCGTTTCCACTTTTCCAGTGCACATGTTTAGGCATGCCACAAAAAATTGAACTTTATATCCTTCCCTCCAATTATATTTATTCGGTGACATGCCGCCAATTAGAGTTACATGATCTTGCCGGTTACAATTAACCGATTCACCAGTTACATGACTTGCCAGTTACAATTACGTGATTCACCAGTTACTATTACTCACTTACCCGACTCACATGCTACAATTACCCGATTCGCCAATTACAGTTATATGACTCGCCAGTTACAGTTACCCGTTCGCCAATTACTCGTGTCACTGTAGCCACCGCTCATGTCACTGTAGCCACCGTCTGTGTCACTGTAGCCACCGTCCGTGTCACTGTAGTCACGATCCGTGTCACTGTAATCACCGTCGGTATCACTGTAGCCACCGTCGATGTGTCATTGTAACCATCGTCGGTGTGACGGTGTCACTATAATCACCACCAGACCTTTCGCCGCCGGCCACAACCACTCTCCACCACCGACCATCGCTGTCGACCACCATCTCATGTCGCCGGCAACGGCCACCATCTTTGGCCACCACAGCCGACCAGCAAATATCCGGCGGCCAACCTCCATCGCTGCACCAGCCCCGCACAAGCCCCTACCCCTCCCCAACCCCAACCCAGATCCATCCGCTCCCCAGAAGCAACCCGCTCGATCCCTAGCCCAGCCCCCTTCCAAACCCATGTACAACTGCACGGACCTAGTCCGGGTGACCGCACTAGCCCCAGGCCCCAGGCCCCTCCCCAACTCGCTAGTCGTAGCCGGTAGCCCCTCATCTATCCCCATCCGGTCACCCCCCTCTCAATCATGTGATAGGAGATGAGATGATCAAATCTACTTTGACTTCATGCAAAATTTGCGGAGGCGCAAAGCTTCATCCCGAAATAGATCACCGTCAATTTCAATCTTTGTCACCGGAGCAAAAATTTCTGGAACGATGATGGAGTGTAAACTTCGAGCGAATCTGAAACAGTCGATCAACAGTGGTGAACTTCGAGCGGGGGATTTGAACTTTCCTGCAACAACGATGGAGTGTGAGGGTGGAGCGGCGGGTGACGATGGGTGATGGCGGAGCAACATGTGGTGGTGTAGCAGAGAAACTTCTTCTCTGCAATTATGGAATTGAGAGGGTATAGACGAAGGGTTGGGCTGCGGGAAATTGATTGGGGAAGGGTAACTTAGTCTCTTTGCTTCAAATAAGGTCTTATTTATGTCCAATTGGATAAGTGGTCATAGTTATGTCTTTCAAAACCACATGAGTGTTATTCCGGTCATTCTTTCATTTTTCAAGTTCATCATTTTAATTTTTTATATTTTAATTCTAGGAGTTTATTTTAAATTTACCCACTTTAGAGTTACATTAATTTTCTGATTTTTTTCATAATTTTATTGTATATATTTTACAAGAAAAATTATGTAATGTATTTTTTATTATATAAATTTTAATTTTAATTTTTTCATTATCTCAGTTTTTACGCTTTTATAAATTTATTTGAATCTGTATTATTTTATCTGGTTTTTATTCTAAAACTTTCACTCGTTCTAATTTTTTTAAACCATTTTCATGGTTTTTAATATTTTAAATTTTTTATTTTATTTTTAAAAACTTTCAGATGTTCATTTCATGTTTTTTAAATATAATAATAATTATTATTATTATTATTTATATTGCTTTTAATTGTTATTTTGCAATAAGAGTAGAAAATGGAAGTACGTGAGCTCAAATATTAATAAGGTAGTGGGGTCCAATGTTTTGAGTGTTTGAATTAACATGCGTTACTTAGAGTTACGAGTAAGTGAATAAGTGGCGCGTAGGGTCTGTTATTGAAAGGGAAACTGCAACTTATCTATATTTGAAAAAGCTTTCAAAAATGAAAAAAATTGAAATTACTTTAAGTTTTAGGCCGGTTGTGAAAATTCCCAAAATACAAAAAGAAAGGTCCAATTCCCCAAACCTGCTATAAGCTTTTAATTTAGGCTTCTAGTACGGAACTTTCAAACAAATAAGCATAATGACTAATGAGTAATGTACTAATGTTCAAAAACTAGTTCATCTTGTTCCAAGAGCTTGTGAGTCGCGATAGCTGAATCGCTGAGTAGCTGATGAGTGTAGAGAGATACACTCATGTGACGAATGTATCTACATATGGATCTATACTTAGTGGCACACAATTTTGTCTGAAAGTCTATTTCAAATATTTTTGAAAATTAAAAATGACTAAATACACAATATCATATTAGAGATAGATGATTTTGTATCCATGTAGTTTGAATAGTTTTATTTATTTTTATATTCATTTAATTATATCCATATTGTTCAAGTTATTTTACGAGAATGTGTTATTTTTTAATATGTGACATGTTGAACTGCTTAAATATACTAATAATAATAATTATTGTTCAATATTGAATATGACATCAATAGATTATTAATTGTATTTTGTAATATTTTAATAATGGATTAAATACTCCCTCCGTCCCGTTGGAATGTTCCCGTTTGACCTACACACATATTAAGGAAATAAACTTTTCAGGGGGTAAATTTTACTATTTTGGCACTGTTTCGACATTGTTTGACATTGTTATAATACTATTTGACACTATTTTGCACTGTTTGACCATGTTTTGATGTAGGATAACTTTCCATTTAGAGAAATGGGAACTTTCCAACGGGACATCCAAAAAAGGAAAGCGGGAACATTCCAACGGGACGGAGGGAGTATGTCGCTAGTAACACCGATTTAGTAAATTTTGTTAATGTATGATAATTTGTTGTATTCTGAAACATTCACGGTAATTTACCAATATCGTACCGATACCAATTTGAAATTTCGGTATACCGAAACTTCGGTAAGATAACGGTATATAAATTTTGTATAATGAAAGTTGGTATGTTAAAGATATGAAAAAAAATATCAGGTATACTGTACCAAACCATCCCTAACGAGGCAGACTTGCAACCTGAGTAAGGAAGGATTGAAAAGGACAAAAAACACAAAAGGAAAAGGAAGTGGTAAAGAAAAGGAAGGAACGTGAAAATGCTTGAATGGGCAGGACAGAATTGGAATTTCACGAAAGAAAGTGGGCAAGAAAGCGTTTTTGTCGTGACTTGTCCCTCGCGTTGGCCGCACGCTGGAAAATTTTAACGTTCCACACACCTCGCTGCTGCGATGTAGAGTATCATTTCCAAATCCGATTCTTAGCTGCATAACTCTAACTTTACCCAAACTGGCCCTATAACTTATTCTAAACAAACACCGACCGTATAAAAAAAGATTTCGAAAGTACATATTGCGATTAATTTATTGGATACTCCGTATATAAACTTTAGAATGTATCCAAAATAACTCCTGATCTCGTTATCTTTATTGTACTCCCTTGTTAGTTTATACTACTTCGTTTAGGCTTTGTTTGGTGGAAAAGATAAATTGGTCACGAGAAGAAATAGAAATAGAAATTAATTGCCCGGTGTAAAAATAGAAGTGCTATATTTTTATTTTCTAAATAGTAATAATAAATAAATTGAAAGTTTGAAAATACTCTCAATTATGACATTAGTAATATCATATTAAAGTCTGATAATGATTTTTTATGGTAAAGTCTGATAATGTTAAAACATCAAAAGAAATCGTAATGGCGGCAATTTATTCCTAAAAAGTATTTGAATTTGAAGGGGTCTTGGGGCTGGTGCGGGTAGGGGTGTGCATTAACCGGGTCGGACCGTATTTTAGACCTGAATCGGACCAGGATGGACCGGTCCGACCGATCCGGTATAAACAGGTTCGGGTTTCGATCCTAAGAATTTTAAGATTCTGGGTTCCGGTCCGGTCCGGGTTAAACCCGGAAAAGATAGGTCCGGACCGGTGACCCGTTAAGTTATTGCTCCGTAAAATATATATATCAGTCCGTATCGTTAGTTCTTATGTTTACGTGTTACTTTTTTCTTAGATAAATACGAAGTACATAGAGTAAATTACATATAGAATGTAGTTTATGAATGTAGTTTATAAATTACTTTTGTTCTTATGCGGCACTATGAATGTAGTTTATATACTACGTATTTGTTGTATTTACATATACAATAAATTACTTTTATTTGTTTTTTCTTTCTTTCTTTATCTGTAGGTGTGCACTAAGGTCTACTGGTGTACGTAGTTTATAAATTTTATTATATATACATGTGCCGTGTGCATTGTGGTCTATGGATGTAATGTATACATATTTGGACACGATTTAGTTTTTATTTAGTTTATTGTAGTCTATTTACATGATATAAATGAATGAAACAATTATTTAGTCTATTTGGTCTATTTGGCATATCTGCCCATCAAATTATATGCGCATCAGATTATTTCCCAAAATTAATAAATGAATCAAACAATTATTTAGTCTATTTGGCATTTCTGCATGCCCATCAAATTAAAGTCCGAAAAACAGTCTAAGATAATGCCTTAAAAAACGGGTCAATTAGGGTTAAAACTGGACCGGACCGGACCGGAAAATTCAGGTCTGGGTCAGTTCGGACCGGTTAGTATACGGTCCGGTCTCCAATCCTTAAAAAATTAAGATTTCGGTTCCGATCCGATTTTGGACCGGTGCACACCCCTAGATGTGGGTCACTGGATTGGGGGACGAGACTAGAGAGGGGGCTACATCATGGGAGGGGCTCGATTTGGGTTGGATGTGGGCTGGGGTTGGGGATGGGGAGGAGGCTAGTGCGGGGAAGCTGCAGCCTGCAGTTACTGGGTAGCGGAGGCTGACCGTTGAAGATATGGTGGTTGGCGGTGATGGCCAAAGATGGTGGCCGACGCCGGTGACCAGAGATGGTGGTTGGTGGCGGCGGTGTTCGCTGGCGATGGCCAAAGATATGATGGTGGTCAGTGGCGATCACTATCATGTGTGATAGCGGTAAATGGACGGACCATGTAACTGTAACTTACCGAGTCTGATAACTGTAATTAATCATATCGGATAACTGTAACTAATGAGATTGTGTAACTATATATGATTTATTGGGTCGAGTAATTGTAGCTAGTCGAATTTGGTAATTGTAAATAACTGGTTTAGTAATTGTAAATAATCAGATCAGGTAACTATAATTCGTCAAGTTTGATATTTGTAATTGATCGGGTCGGATAATTGTAACTAATAGGGCCAGATCGCTGGGCGGGTTGGTCACTGAGCAGGTCATGTCACTGGGCGGGTTAGATCACCGAGGCGGGTTAGGTCACTAGGGCGGGTCTTGTCACTATCATTTAAAGTCACTAGGGGTAATTTAGTAAGTTTATGGTCTTATTAGTCACATTTTTTGAACTTTTTTAAAAGTCTCTTTTTGTCCAAGAGCTTAATTTTTGTAATATTAGTGGAGAAACCTCATAACTTTTCGTGTAGTAATATTAAATTCTGCATTAATAATATAATCAAGACTTCCATGGTTAAAACATATTTTGAAGATACACAAGCCATGCATTTTAAGTTATGATAAAAGTTCGTTCGCATAAGACGCTACTCAAATTAGTATTACCACGTAAATTAAAGTGATAAAACTAATATTTTTGGAAAATATAATAAGCTCTATTGCTCTGAAAAAATGAGATGTGTAAATTATAAGTCTTATTTTATAAAACTAAAGATTAAGGCGTCGTTAATAGGGATGGAGCTAGGAGATAGAATCAGTGGTGTCAATGTAATGTTACAAGTATTCTATAAGTTCTATTTTTATAAAAGTTTAGGTAAAATTTCATATAGAATACTATAAAACAAATATTACAAGTTAATTAATATGTGTTACCCTTTTATACCAATTTTTGAAACACTTATAACAACCACAAATTTATTAAGTTTTCGTGTCAAGTTCTATTCATCCTATATTAATTCCCTTTGTAACACTCATCTACTACCTCCGTTCCTATTAAAACTTCCAAATAGGTTTGGCACAGAGTTTAAGATAGTGGGTATTGTGTGGTGGAGAGTTGTGCAGAGGAGAGAGAAATTTGTAAGAAATGTTGTGAACCACAAATTCTTTACTAAAAAGGGAAAGTGGAAGTTTTAATTAGAACGGATGAAAAAGGAAAGTTGGAAGTTTATTTAGGAATGGAGGGAGTAATATATTTTGAACCTATGAAATCCTTACCATGTAATGTTTTTTTGAATGTGATTTTTACACATATTATAATATTATAATATATATATATATGTTCTGTTAAATGT